AATATAAAAAAAGGTCATTAACTGTACCAAGAGCAAAGAGAAGGATGGACACTCTAGTGTTTTGAGAGGATCACAGCAAAGCCAAGAGCAAAAGATTGTTGATCCATGCCTCTGAATAAGCAAATACTGGTCCTCTAGTCCAAATAGCAGCAAAATGCCTGTCTTGTCTTCCCCATGTCTCAAAATATTAAACTTTGATTCTATGTCAGAAGACTTTATCTCTCGAAACCACGCACACAAAATAATTATGGGCATCTAAGGCTCTGTGTGCACACTGAATTTTTGTTCTGTATAAACACTGTGGTTGTCAATGATTTATGCAAATCAGGGTGTGTAATTACTTATTTGAAGGAATAGTGTTAGGGTTTAGTATTTTGTCAGCATATTTTATTGTACGTTGGTTGATATAATCGCCGCAGAGCCAGCAAATATATTCAGTGCTAAGCAGTGTCCTGAACTAAGTTGTCACTCATGCCTTAGGTTTACAGTTGGCTCATTTCTGTTGATTGTTTCATGCGGTAAGTAAAAACTTGTCAAGAACATTTTCACCATCTGAATAACAGCAATGCCTGTATTGCTGTGGGTTCACTAAGTAGAGCAGAAGCTGCTAATAGTCTAACATCAAGCAATATCATTCAGTTTTACATCTTTAATAACCCTGCAGGCCACTTCATCAGCATCTGTTTTATTCCAAAACTGCATTTTTTATCACATAGATCATGAATGTGTTTGTTTATTAAAGACATTTAGCACAATTTTATGAAAGAAGGCGGCTTCTTCTCTTCAATCTAGAGGAAACATTGCTATAAAGTAAATAAAATGCAAAATAAATATTATATGAAGCTATAAAATCCTAGCTTAAGTTTAAATATTTAAAGGCACTACTTGTGGGAAGCAACATTAAAATGCCAGGTTTATTTTACAAAACAAAGTCTATCTTTCAGTGCTTGTTGCATAATACCCTCTGGTAAAAGTCAAAACTACCTTTATGAACCATATAACCTAAATTCTGATACTGCACTGCTCAAGGTGGCTGCACATTGGAGTAGCTATGATATTTTGATATTATTTCTAAGACCTTCAGTTTCTCAGTTTGTAGATCAAAGTTTATTTTATCTGATCATTTTTTTTCTTCTGGCTTTGGGTGCTGTTCAGCTGAAAGGATTTCTGGCAATACTTTTTTAGACTTTTTCACAATACCTTTTTTAAACATTTGTTAGAATGTGTTACCACAGCAAGATTTATTTTTTTTTTCTACATCTGGTAGCAGCTCATTAACAACTCTAAACACTTAAAATAGTTAATCAGGAGTCAGCTAATCCAGAATGTGAGCAAACATCACATTCCTGCTCTCAACTCTTTAAATATTGACGGCTAGGCAAAGCATCCATGCATCTGATACTGACACCATGAGGGAACTCCTTGTCATATATTGACATGCAGCGTGCATGGTAATTGCAGACATTATCTTATGTGACCATGCTGAAAAGAAAAAGAGATATGACTGCAAATTTCAAAAGAAACAGGAACAAGAAAAATCCTATGGACATTATGGGGAAGAACTGGAGGAGTATAAATACCTTGGTGTTCACCTGGACAACAAACTCAACTGGAGACACAACTGTGAAGCGGTCTAAGAAGGGACAGAGCAGAAAGTACTGTACTTCATAAGGAAGCTTAGATCCTTCGGTGTTTGCAGCAAAATGCTGCATGTCTTCTATACGTCTGTTGTGGGGAGTGTTATCTCTTCTCCATCATGGGCTGGGGTAACAGCATCAGAGCAAATAAAAAAAAACAAAAAAAACTCAACAAGTAGATAGAGAAGGCCAGCTCTGTTATAGAAAATCCTCCGGAGATTATTTCACAAAGACTTTTCCATAAACATTATGGAACATCGTAAACATCATCTTCAGATGACCAATAAAAAAAACTGCTATTTCTTCGGTCAAAGGATTCTCCAAATCCAGCTAGAGAAAAACTCTACAGAAGACTCTTCCTACAGCTATCAATATTTACAACATATTGCTGAAAAAAAAAAATGCGTTACTACTGTAGAACTTTAAAATTATTTTAGGGATCAATAACGTATTTTTGAATTGAACTACATTGAATAATACAAAGCTTGAAATTCAATTTGCTTTATTTAAACTTTATTTAAACTTAAAGATTAGTTTTAGTTGTTACCTTCCAGTCGCTGAGCTTGCCACAACCACATTATTAGGATGGCTGACAGTTCAGTTACAAAAGCAATTAATAAAGTTACACTTCTTTTAGATTGTTTAATAGGCAGCATATTATATACCACTAAATGCACATATTGACACACTAGGTCTAATTATTTTGTAACCTTTGTAAGAATACTGCAGTTTAAGTTTAATCTCACTCTCATTAAACAACCTTTATATATTTCCAGATCTCAGTTGCTGGACCTGTTATGTATCCCTTCATCAAGTATTGAGTAGTATTATTAATTGTCTTCTTGTTCATATAGTGGTAGAATTAGAATGGGCTCTTGTAGCTCTTGCTACGTTTGATTTTATGTTTAAAACAAAATACAAAAACAAAATTCTTCATTGTTGAACATGGAGGCAAATTCAAACCTAGCAAATCAAACAATTATCTAATTTAAAATTGCAGCTAGGGTACTATTCATGCCCCTTTTATGCAATCCATTTAAATTCACTATTAAGATTTTGTGCAAAATCATAGGTTATCCTTCTTGAAAATATGTTTTAAATAAAGTTAAGTGGTAACTAACAGACAAGCCCAGGTTCTGACACATACAGGCAGCTGCAAAGCATTCCTGAAGCACACAGAGACTTACTTCTCTTTAATAGGTAAGGGAGCATGAGGGGAGCCCAACCCATACAGATATTTCCATGTGGATATGGCCTATGGCACAGGGGTACCTGCCCTCAGCCATCTGCACTGATTTGACAAATGATTCTATATCAAAGGCCTTTGCACTGATTTGGGAGGTAATTGATTGAAACTGAGGACCTCAAATCCCTGATTGGTTTAGCTGGATGTGAGGCTAGGATGTGGAAGCAAATGAGAGAAATTAAAGGATAGGCAGTAAGCTGAAAAATGAGTCTACAGTGCAAGAGATTTGTTAAATATCAGTTCTCTCTACAATTCTTTCTCAATTACACTTTACGGAAAATGAAAATAAATAAATATAACATATTAATTTTCTTCACCGAATAAGCATATTTTTAAATAGAGCAAGCAAGGTCTTCTCTTTGTTTCTTTCTTTCACTAATGCAGCTGTCTGGGTATCAAATTTGCTGGTGTGTCCATGAAGATTGGATTTCACCATTCAAAAAGAGTAATTTGGTTACAAATGGAATACTATTGATTTGTTCCACATTGTGTAGTCTGATGCAGATATATAAGCCATTCACGTTGGCTTAAAGGGAAATATGCATTATGAATTATTTCATCAATTTCCTCTAAATTTTTGATGCCATTAACCATCGTTGTGGAACTAGGATGACAAGACATGCTCTCTCCTTTGAAATAATAACTATATCATAGCAAAAGACAAAATTTTACCATCTAAAAATATTTTCCAACTGTTGAAAGGCTTACTTTTATTGAATTCACAGATGATGATCATTTTATTTAATGGTTAACGCTGGTCAAAGGAGAAGGAGTATACTGTAAGAAAATCACAGTGCTCACTTATCAGTCTGGTACTTTCTCTGGAGAAGACACTTAACCTAAAGTTATTCCCCGTAGCATACCTCTATTTTTAATAGCATCTCTCTTGCCCCTCTGTGTTTGAGAGGGTGATATTGGCTTGAACACTGCTGTGTAGTTTGGTACTGAGGTGAAGAACGCATCGTATATTAGCTGTCCATTAACAACTTTTTTAGTGGATGGAAATGACCTGAATATAAAAAGTGGATTTGATCATTTTTATTCATTTATGGTCTGGCTTGGAATATTTTTGTACATTTGAAGTGTTCGCACAATGCAGGCTATGCTATAACCAGTTTCAACGTATTAGTCTGGTTATTTGTAGATTGAGGCATGTTGAATGTTCTGCCGATAAGCCAGCAGACCGCAGAGCCTTGTTAATGCAGCTTTGACAGCAACGCTAGGTATATATAGGCCCTGCTGCCTTTATTACATCGCAGGATGACTGACCTGCATATCTTTTGCCATTTGACACAACACACAAACATGTGCTGTCTTCCCGTGACAGATGTTGCACAGTACTGGTCCCAGAGGTCACAACTGACCTTTTGGACTGCCTTTTTTTTCAGTCACAAAGGATTACTTGCTTGCAATAGCCACCGATGCAACCTCAGGCACTGCAATAGAGCCGTGGGTTGTTGCTGCTTGTCTTTTGAGATCACATTTACCTTAGTTGACTTGTGGGTGGGTGTGTGCTGGTGGGGGGTCTTAGGGAGGAGGATTGACTGAGTACATGCTTGTCATCACAATTTCATGTATAAACATGTGAATGCTAATCTATATGTTCAAAAAGATTCCTAAATGATCAGCAACAGCTTTTACATTAAAACCTTAACTAACATTGATCATTTAGACCTGAGTGAATTATCAAAACATGCATCTTTTTGACCTTTTATAGCTGTAGAATGACAACCAACAGCAGCGTTTTGGCATTTTTTCCATAACCACAGGTGACTTTATGTTCTAGGGTATGGCGCTTTCAAGTAGTAGGGTGACTGTCAAGGGTCTTCATTTCCACCTTATGTTGCACCTTAAAAGGTATGTTCTTTTATAAATAAAATGAGATGCAAAGTTTAAGCGAGATTATTTCTGAATAGAAGGAACAACATAATGAGTGAGTTTTATATTGTCAGGGGTCAATGAAATCAAACCAAAGCCCAAGCCTCAGCATCTGTCACCTGTTTATATTCACAGAAAAGCACATGCTTATAAATTGGCATAATGATTAGCATTTAACAAAATATGGGAAACATTTCTTCTGGTATTTGCTGCTTATTTACATTAAAGCCATTGCTTACATCACACAGCTGCTGCTGATTTGTCGGCTGCATATCCCTGATGCATACGTCCCGTTCCACCACATCCCAGAGGTGCTCTACTGGATTGAGGTCTTGCGACTGTGGACACAATTGGAACACAGTGAAACCTTTGCTATGTTTAAAGAAAAAAATTGAAATAATAAGGGCTTTGAACCATGTTGGAAAATATTGCTGTAAGTTAAACACTCTACATTTAGAGTGTTTACATTTAAAGTAGACATTTTAAAAAGAACCCCCCCACACATGCACACACACATACCACAACACCATGACAGTTAGCCTAAACCATTGATCCATGCTCTACCCAACCATTCATAGATGTATCTAAGAGAGACTTGTAGCTATTGTCCAATTTAGTTCAGCTAATACTGTGGTTTCTTTTTCCCGTTCTTAGCTGACAACAGTGGTGCCTAGTGGGACCTTCTGCTCCTATAACCCATCACAAAATGCCAAGTTATTGAATGTTAAGATATTGTTAAGTATATCCTATTTAAGCTACTGTTGACTCTCTATTTTCTAAAGCTCTGCTCCCCATTCTCTTCAGACATTTTTCTATACTACTGCCACTCACTAAATGTTTTCTAACCATTATCTGGTAAGACAGGAGGGGGTTTTGAGGAAAAAATCCCAGTGGTTCTGGCCTGTCTGACAGACTGAAATACCCTTAAAATCCACTTTCTTTTACATTTTGATGCTTGGTTTCAGCTTCAATCAGTAGCCTCTATGTTTAGATGCCTAGATGCTGACATGTGGTTTTTCTGATTCCTTTTTTGTGTAAACAAGAAATTGAACAGGTGTACCTATTAAAGTGGCTGGTGCATGTTTATCGGTGCATCAAACTCAAATAGCTGCAGCTGAAAACTGCTCAACTCTGTCAAAGAAAAAAAACATGCTGCAATTACAACTCTACAGCTGGCCCAATTGCTCTACAGTTCTACAGCTCTACAGTGGAGGGATATCTCTGTTTAAACTTGCATCTCTGATTATATTTCATTTTGCTCCGTGTCATGCAGTGATGAGAACCTGTAATGCGTGCGGCGGAAAACCTTGTGAAAAACCAACACAATTTCTACTGCCTGAAGCCCTGTGTCAGAAATATTATCCAACCTTCACCTCTTACACTGAGTGCCGTACTGTAATGATGCTGTGAGGTGAACCCACACATCAATTATTCACATAATGCAAGATTTCTCACTCTTTATCTTCTCACTGGCAAGAGAGAACCATTTAAGGAAAGCAGACATGAACAATTGAGAGAGAAAAAGTGGAATGAATGCTTGGTGACTGAATAGGAGAATTTTAGTGGACAGACAATGCTTTTGTCATAATTGTAGTTTGACAATATGTAGACCTTGGGGATGTTAACTATGCAATATATGGCCTTTAGACTGGTATCACTATGGAAACCGAAGGCCCTGAATGACCTGGTTTGCCCACCCACTTGGACAGCCGTTAATCATCTTCGTTCAGATCCTGGCACTCCAGAATTTGGCCAGTGTGTCAAGAAGCAATTATATATACTTAGTGCTCAGGCATCAGATCTCCTCCCTCCTCCTTTTCTGCGCTCCCTCTCACACTCTTAATATAATCATAGAGCAGTCAGTTTTTAAGCCCTCTGTTCATTTCAATGTCTATCTGGGGGATGCACACAATGCAGATGAAAATAAAAGTTTGAAAAGAGAGAGTGTATTCCATTCTGAGAGCCATTATAATCAGAATACTCTTTACATCTAAATCGTATTCAGCCATTTACTCATTTTACCAGCCTCCTGAGCTGACTGACATACTAAATTACCCCAGCTGGCCCCATTGCATTCAGTGCACATATTGGGCTGGTGCGGATCATGGAGACTAATGTGAGCTGACTAGAGGGAGATTATGTTCCGCTGCTAACAGCCAAAACGTGAACAACACCATCCGCAAAACCCACGGTGTTCCCACGTTACATCAACCCTGATCAAGTATTTGAAAATGGAAAGAGAAGAATTCCAATAAAGATATCAGACAGAAATATGGCAGACAGACATACAACAGGCAGCCAAAGTAGAGCAGTAGGTCCTGTCCAAAAACATATGTTTTGATATCAATATTAGTGTAAGAAGGCTCCAGAGGTATAAAAAAGGTAAAGGTCATCAAAAATGGAAAAAATACAATTAAAGGAAAATAAAAAATTCATTAATTGATTAGTATAAAACTGTACTGTACTGCAATGAAGATCAAGCTTTGATAGCTGCTGATTGCTACTGGTGATTCAACTTTTCTCGATTGCTTAAAACATCCCCCCATCTGCTGTGAAGCAGTGTAGGAACGCAATGTGTTACTTTATGAGTTGAACAGTAATACGGTGCAGGAACTAGGGTGTTGCTACAAAATGCCAAGAAAAAGGCAGTTAACTATGAAAGATCATCATCATGCTTAATAATATATACATCTTTTCTACAGATCCATTTATAGCCTACATCCTCAGGAACTTATATGCATGGCGCAGGAAGAGAAACGCTGCCTGTGTAAGTTTCAACTACTTTTCAAACATATGAGAAAGCAAGACCAAATCTAATCCTAGAAAATAAACACCAGCAGCATTAAAATGTCAGGTTGTTGCATTTATAGTTGCTTAAAACTGATTCTCTCAGAATTTACAACAACATTAAAACTATGGACCATTTAAAAGTCACTAAAGGGTGCTGTGGCATAAGGCATAATTGGGCATCCAAATGAAATCTGGTAAGGTTATGTTGCTATATTTTGTGGTTAATGGAATACCTGGTAAAATATATATATATATATATATATATATATATATATATATATATATATATATATATATATATATATATATATATATATATATATATTGTTTCTTTGTCAATGATGACAATGGTTGTTGGAGCTGCCATAATTCCCATAGTCTCTGCATGTAACCTCTCTAACTAACCTGCATGTAACCCTGGCTAACCCAAGGACGGACAATCCTGATCATGAAGGATCCGCAGAAGGGAACAACCCCATCCAACTACCGGCCAATAACTTGCCTATGTACAACATGGAAGCTCCTGTCAGGCATCATAGCGGCTAAGATGAATAGGCACATGGCTCAATACATGCACCCTGCCCAGAAGGGAATAGGAAGCAACACCAGAGGAGCCAAACACCAGCTACTAGTGGATAGAGCAGTCACCCGAGACTGTAAGACCAGGCAGACAAATCTGTGCACTGCCTGGATTGACTATAAGAAAGCCTATGACTCAATGCCACATACATGGATACTGGAATGCCTGGAAATGTACAAGATCAACAGGACTCTAATAGCCTTCATCAAGAACTCAATGAAGCTGTGGAAAACAAGTCTGGAAGCCAATGCAAAGCCAATAGCACAAGTCACCATCAAGTGCGGCATATACCAAGGCGATGCACTATCCCCGCTGCTGTTCTGCATAGGCCTGAACCCCCTCAGCCAGATCATCACAAAGACTGGCTACGGATACCAATTCCGAAGCGGAACAATCATCAGTCACCTCCTCTACATGGATGACATCAAGCTGTATGCCAGGAGTGAGCGAGACATCGACTCACTGATCCACACTACCAGGATCTACAGCAACGACATTGGGATGTCATTCGGACTGGACAAGTGCGGTCGCATGGTCTCAAAGAGAGGGAAGATGATCAGAACCGAGGGGGTTGAACTACCAGAAGGCCACATAACAGATGTTCAGGACAGCTACAAATACCTTGGGGTGCCACAGGCTAACGGAAACCATGAGGAGATGGCAAGAAAGACTGCCACAGCTAAATACCTACAAAGAGTAAGGCAGGTCCTGAAAAGTCAGCTGAATGGGAAAAACAAGATCCAAGCCATCAACACATATGCTCTACCAGTCATCAGATACCCCGCTGGTATAATAAACTGGCCAAAGGAGGAGATAGAGGCTACTGACATCAAGACGAGAAAGCTCCTCACAATGCATGGAGGGTTCCACCCCAAATCCAGCACTCTGAGACTGTACACCAAGCGTAACGAGGGAGGCCGAGGGCTAGTGAGTGTCAAGACCACTGTCCAGGATGAAACAACTAAGATCCAGGAGTACATCAGAAAGATGGCCCCCAAAGACAAATGGCTTGGTGAGTACCTCAGGCAGGAGAAAACCGAAAGTGAGGACAAGAAAGAGGAAGGAGAACCATCATGGAGGGACAAGCCGCTGCACGGCGTATACCACAGACAAATAGAAGAAGTGGCTGATATCAAAAAATCCTACCAGTGGCTGGAAAAGGCTGGACTGAAGGACAGCACAGAGGCACTAATCATGGCAGCACAAGAACAGGCACTCAGTACAAGATCAATAGAGGCCAGGGTCTACCACACCAGGCAGGACCCCCGATGCAGACTGTGCAAAGATGCCCCTGAAACAGTACAGCACATAACAGCGGGGTGTAAAATGCAGGCAGGAAGTGCATACATGGAACGCCACAACCAGGTAGCTGTCATAGTGTACAGGAACATCTGCCATGAGTATGGGCTGGAAGTCCCAAGGTCAAAATGGAAGACACCTCCTAAGGTAGTTGAGAATGACCGAGCTAAGATCCTATGGGACTTCAAGATCCAGACTGACAAAGAGGTGATGGCTAACCAACCAGACATCGTGTTGATCGACAAACAGCAGAAGAAGGCAGTAGTGATAGATGTGGCAATCCCAAGCGACAGCAACATCAAGAAGAAAGAACACGAGAAGCTTGAGAAATACCAAGGACTGAAGGAGGAGCTAGAAAAGATGTGGAAAGTAAGAGCAGCAGTGGTGCCAGTGGTAATTGGAGCACTGGGGGCTGTGATCCCCAAACTGGGAGAGTGGCTACAGCAGATTCCAGGTAAAACATTAGAGGTCTCTGTCCAGAAGAGCGCAGTCCTAGGAACAGCTAAGATACTGCGCAGAACCCTCAAACTCCCAGGCCTCTGGTAGAGGACCCGAGCTTGAGGATGACACATACCACCCCATTGTGAAACAATGGGGTGGTATGTGTGAAACAGGATTGTGAAACAGGATGCTTGATTTTGAAACAAGTTTATTTATGTGGCTCAAAGTGCACAGTCCTTGCTAATGTCATATTTCCATTCAATAACTGTACACTTATTGCCATTTGTTAAGGTAAACTTTTCCAAATGATACAACAGTATAGCTTGTAAACTTCTGGTAGCCAACAAACTTGTGCTGCTAGGTCACACATTCAGCCCTGTTTGTTTACAAACAGTAAATGGATCTATAGAAAAAACTTAAAGAAAGTCCTGGTGCCAGCGAGTAATTTTTTTCCATCAACATTCAGATGATCAACACTCAGATTTCCATTAACAATCCATTAATAATTAGAAACTGCAGGAGACTCCAATAGGAAAAGGTGTCAAAGACACCAAGCCATATCTGAATTGGACACATTTTTTTAGGGTTAACAGCTTGCATGATACTATGCTCTCAGTACAATAGTTTCAAACACAGCTTAATAGTAGTCAAAGTATAAAAGTGTCATTTTCAACTGTGAATACTTTCAGCTTCCGGCTTGACAGGATGAGTTGCAGCAGTGACACATTCCCAAGACATCAGATTAAGACAAAGAGGCATGTCTGAGCCATGAAACACTGCCACTGGACAGCTGAAGCCTATTATGGACTGATAAATCATACATTAAAATCTTTATAAAGGGGGAGGAAGCTAAACAGTTACAAAAGCCTTCTGCAGCACCATGCAATAATACCCTGTGGTATTAGTTTAGTTGGTCAGGGGGTTAATCTTACAGCAACATAATGATCAAAAACACATCTCAATTATATGCCAATCCTACCCAAGCAAAAGGGACAAGATGATAAGCTTGAAAATATTGAGTTGCAAGTTCAGGCTCCAGATTTGATTAATTACTTAATTAAAATATATCTAATGATTTGAAACTAAAGTGATGTGTTTTATATTTGATTGTATTGATAATTCAGTTTGACTTATTTCCATTTGAGTTCTAAAATTCAATTTTGATTCTAAAATTCTACTTTTTGTGTCACGCATGGGTCCTTGAGAAAGACTTGAGTAAATCATCAAATTTCACTCAGTGATGTTATTAGACAAAATTTAAAATGAGGGAAATTCCCCTTCAAACCAAAATATTTGATTTTGAATTTTGCATATATATTCATTCTTGGCCATTCAACTTAATTTCTGATATTTAGTTTTCGTTTTTCATGGCATAATTCTCTGCCCATAGAGTGACCATTTGGGTCGATGTCACATTCAGAGTATAGGTCTTTGGTTACGGACCAGATGTGTTATTTTAGCACTGATGTAGAGAGGAAAATGGTACTTCTATTAGATTTCTCCATTACCTTTTTCATTAATTGACTTGGAAAATTAAAGCATAACTTTGTTATTTACTATTTAACAACTATGTGTTGATGTGAATTCACCCAGAGTTATTTTAGACAGCAAGCTGTGCATTAGTGATGTGCGGCAGTGTAAGGCTTTGAATGGTTGATGACAGGCTGTCAGATAGCTTCCATCTATTGGGCTCCTTTTACCAAGGTCCACTTTTGCAATAAGTCACTTTCCACCATAGCAGCCATTCATCCAGAAAAGGACACAGACATTTCTGATGTGTTTGGTGCTAAGTGAAGTAAAATTGTGTGAACTTTTCTCTATAGCACCCTATCACATTTGCAAGTGGCATGCTCTGAGAGGAAAGGTTGAAGGGGAAAGTAACTTTAGTGCACTGAGATGACTTCACACTATTAGAGAGAAATAATGACTTTGACTGTGCCTGTTAAGTATTAATTAGCATTGAATAAATCTGCCCTTCTTGCCTCATGTTAAATAGGTCTTAAATGATTAACACAGTGTTGAAAGGAAGAGACAAAAATGGAATTGGTGGTTTGATATTAAATTAGCTTCTATTAGAATCCTTACTAAAAAAAATAGATTTAGCTTTGATTAGATTTTTGAAATAAAATTACAAATTCATGTAAAAATCACTGAGATTGTTTTATTTTATTTTTCTAACCTAAAAAAATGTAAGTTCTAAATTATCTATCATATAAAAAAAATGTTCACCCTTGACCGAAATAAAGCAGGAGCTTACCTTACAAATAGGTGATGTAGAGTTAAAAGACTTTTCTGGTGTCTGGCCCGGGTTCTACAAGAAAAACACATTATCAAGTACATGTGGAGTGCATCTTAAAGCAAATCTTTGGTGACAGAAGTTAGAGTGTATGTCTCTGGGCTTGCTTTTTTAACATTTCTGATAGATTCTTTCGTATGGTGACTCTTGACTTCCACTCTTCTCCTTATTAATCACGTTCTAAATCTTTTCATAGTGTAAAGCACAGTATTTAAATCATTTAATCAAACACAACCTTGGGTTTGATTTAGAATAACCTGAATGCCGCCGCTAAAAAGAGATTTTTACCTTACTCTAAATATTCCAATGATACGCCTGGATACAGTGCCCTGTGAACAGCAAGCTTCGTCATTAATGTCCTTTGTAGCTTATTCTTAAAAACGTGTCAATTCGATGACGATTTTAACTTGTTTTGAATTAATCACAGAAATAAATTTACTTTCGATTCGGATCTGATGTATTTACATTCAATAATATTGTAATAGCAATTGGGCCTGTTGTTTTGCCCAAGCCAAAGAATCTGTTTTCTATCCGTGATCATTTTGCTATGCTTCTAATAAATCCCAGCTTTTGCCTTTGTTTTCCAGTACCCCCATATGTATATAGCTCCACATGGATTATAAATCCTTCTTTGTCAAAAGATTTTACTGAGCATATGTTCAGGACTTTTGCACAAGCTCCTGATAGCTGTTTCTGAGGTTAAATGATTATCACATTGTTAATACGCCAATACATCACTTAGACACAAGAAAACACCATTAAAAGCACACACAAGGTAAGGCAACAAGGCAACAACAGATGGTCCTGCTGCTTGTGATTATGCAAAGATCCAAAGTATTTGCATACTCACAAAGAAACTGCAAAAAAAAAAAAAAAAGAGTAAACAACAAGCCTTCTTAAACTGACCTGGGTGAGAAATGAAAAGAGCGGTGGATGAGGCCAAAAACCCAGCAGGAAAGTGGATGGGCTCGGAAAATGTCTTTTGGAATCTACTAAGGGTCTACCCCCTGGGAAGGCCCTGTTGATTTCCAAGCAGGTGCTTTCAGTTATGTCCTCATATCCAATTATGTGCCTGTGGTATGTCTGATGCGCTGTGACACTATTAATGGTTGCCTTATGGTATCACCAGGACAGATGAGACACTCAACTCTCCAGACTCTTAACATCTATATTTCATTGCAGCGTAGGAGGAGAACACCTCGCTGGCCACAGCAGCGGAATAAAAAAAAGAAGGAAAAACAAGCATACTTTCAGTGCAGCATAAATGCCTTGGTATAAAATATAGATGCACAAATGGGTCTTTTTGGAACGATAGAATTAGCAGACAAAACATTCCCCTCTGAGGATGTATTATAGTCGTGATATCTGAAAAACGGCAACTAGATGTATGTATTTTTTTGAAATACAAACAAGAAATTAAAGAACATTGTTCTTTTTCTGCTTTTTGCTCAGAAAAGCAAGAAAAAATCAACTTAGATTGGCTGCAAGCACTGCCTCCAAAATAATATATTGTTCTTTCTTCCTATATTTTTATACAAGCGAAGATGAAAGAAAAAGTAATAGTTGTCCAATTATTTATCAAGTGACCAAGGCTTTTTTAAATACGGATTATGTGGCATGTTTAACTGAATATTAATCAGTAACTTAAATATAACACAGTGCACCCACACATATACCACTTGTGAAAATCTTAAAAAAGTGTTTTATAAACTGTCGCAAAAAAGAAAATGTAATCAGTTTAATCAGAAACCAATGGAAAAAGTAACAGGAATCCCATTTTGTTCATTCAGCTAGGCAAAATGTCAGCTTTTGTTCCGTCACCTCCCTTTGTCACTCCTTCCTCCTAAATCATACTCCTGCAGATGCTAATTATTAATCATTATTATTATATGTGTTTTTTTGTGAAAAAAGTGAATGACTCATCCTATGATTAATATAATATAATGAAGGTGGTGTATTCAGAAGAGCAAGCCAGAGTAAGAGCACAAAACGAAAAACAGCTGCCACTTTTCAACTTTGGTCTGGGACATTTAGCATCTGATAAAGAAACACTATTGACAGAGCTTGCAATACAGGGCTTTTGATTACACTGCATATTGATGTTTTTGTATTTTCAGAGTGCTGCGGGTGGTTATTGTAATTTGATAAGGGCACAGAGAGCAAAATTCAGTGATATATTACAAACTTATTTTCTGAGGAAATAGAAAGATAACTGAAACATGATGTTTCTTTATCTGACTTTTGGGAGACATGCTGATTTAATAAAAAAATATTTTGCTTTCCTCATTTATTTTTCTTTAACCTGATACCTACTATTAAAGACAATTGCAGCCCATAAACTGCAATGCCATCTTTATATTATACACATTGATTAATTGATTCAATGGGGGGACACTTAAAAAATACATCCTAATTATTAAGAACTCTAACAATTTCCTTTAGATAAGCATATGTATTCTTTACCTATCTGGTTATATTAAAACCATGAAAATGTATTTTAGTTGGATGTCACAGGGTGGACCAACACTAAGGTATGGCATAATTTTAGCATAGTTAGACTTAAATCTAAAAATGTGGCCCTCTATTTGCATCAGTCCCCCCCTTTGGCTGTATGTTTGGTGTTGATTGCCCATTTGACTGTGCTGCTGTTTAGTCTATTCTAACCTCCAATAGCCTATCTAAATGGTTTGCCCTATAAAATTGTCCTTTCAGTTTTTCAATAGCTGTGGCCAAGTTCTCTCTATCCCAGTTGAAGAAAGCATAATGAAAACATAATGTTGTAGCAACCAAGTTTTTACTTATTGGAAAGTTTATTTATTTAAATTTGTCTAAACAGCACTCATTTCTTATTCTGCTTTTTACACAAGAATACAGCGATTGTAGGATGTGTCTTTCCATCAGGAAATATATGAAACAACAATTACCTCAAAACAAATGAGACACTGTTGTCAGACACTCACAGAGGCAACACATACATGTTGGTCACACTATCCTTGTGGAGACTTAATAATGACTTCCATTTATGTTGGATTCATTTCCATGGCTAACTCACACATTTACCGTCACCATTACTACCACATAGATAACCATCAACCTAACCTAAAATCAATTCACACCTCAGTCCTAAACCTAACCAACATTCAAGGAAGAGATCTTTTCCTCATGGGGCCTAGTCATTGGTTTCTACAAGTACCTATAAGCCCCCAAAAAGTAGCATATTTCTGGGAAATTGCCCACACAGGTTTACGAGATCGTCGCCATGACAACCAGTCCTAAGACACACCGAGACACGATCACACACCCAAAGAGAACCAATCCTACCAACTAGAACGTCGATCAGCTAAAGTACAAACTGCACTTTATGTTAGCACAACATGTCAGATTTTCATGTACATATTTTTTATTCCAAAGATGTGTATATGTTCTTCAAATGTTTTTGTTAGTTCTTCTAAGAGTCAAGGGTGTTTGATATTTTTGTATTTTGTAATTCTCCACTGAGGGTGTTTTGTATTTAATGGTGTCGTCTAAGGAGGCTTTTCTTTCGTCTTTTTTATTTCTATCTGCACGCTACATATGCATTATGGCTAGATGTCCCAACAAAATGTAATGTTGAATATTAATGACAGTGAAGAATCTTGATTCTTAATTGTAATTGTTACTAATGACTTTCTATCAACAGCATTTTTTCTTTTTACTAACTTATAAAATACTAAATACCATATTTTGTGGACTATACGCTGCTACTTTTTTTTTTTTTTTTTTACCTCGCTTTAATCCAGTCCTCTTATATGAAGGTGCGGCTTTTGTGTGGATCTTTCCAAACCAGCAGAGAGGGAAGTCAAAGTTGGAAATGAAAGAGTAAAGGACTAATTTTCATTTAGCACAAGATCATGCTAGCTCAGGCACAAGAGAGAACAATTCACACATTTTGACGTTTATTTGCCTTGTTAATGCTGTCGAACCAATGAAGAGACTGGGCTCGATTCCTGCAGAGCTGAAATTAAGAGTCAGCAAAGCCTGTCACTACCCCATCCGTCCCAGAAGCACAATCCGTTCTGCGTATGCGCCATCAGCTCATTTGCGCATGCGCATCCACATATACTTCCGAGTCGTCCTCGATTTTATTTTGTTAAAAATACCTAAATAATAATCCCAAAAATAATAAACGTACTAAAACATGTGTTAAAAGTTAATGTATTTCTTGAGAAAATAAATGCCTTAAAAATAATTTCTTTTATCAGCCGTCTCTGCCCGATCTCCAGCGGAAATGGGATCCTACGCCACTTGCGGGAGCTAACTTTTTCGTCTTTGGTTTCACATATAAATCTGGTGTTTTTGAGTTGTATGTGTTCATTTCCTTTTAACCTTATGCTATATAGTGCATAATCTAAAGAAAGAAACAACTAAAATGCAGGTAAAGATGGTTTAGTCATATTTCGCCGGACTGCTCTGAGCACGTTAAAGAAGCCGTTTAACGCAGAAAATGTAAAAAGCATAAAAATTGTCTCACAAAATTCATAAAGCATTTTTTTACAGATGTGTATTAGCATTCGTTAGTGAGTTAAGGATAGAAACAAGTAATTTCCATAACATAATTACATTATGTATGGACACCCGGGACGGATCGGGTAGTGACAGAGCCCCATCTTTCAGTAGAAGCTCTTTTTGCTGTGAGCCAACAAGCTAAGAGGAGCTACAGTAGCAGTCTTCCTTGTCCCTACTCCAGGGGCTATATGTAGAGCTCCCCCTACAGGTTTGATGGGGGATAGTTCACCAGATATCAGCAGCTTATAACCCAGTGCGGCTTATATTTATATGTATATATAAACGTTTCCAGTTTTTTTTTTTAAGATTTAGTGGGCACAGCTTATAGTGAGGTGCGCTCTATTGTCCAGAAAATAGGGTAATAATTTCCTTATGAACACATTTTCTTACCTGAGCTGTGGATCTCTAAAGCTCCTCCAGAGTTATCATTCATTGTTATTATTAACTATTCTTGCCTCTAAAAATGACAT